GGAGGTGAAAGTGCTGAAGAAAAGTGTTTTTATTATGATAGAAATAAGAAACTGCTTCTTTAGTTTAGGGTAATGTTTATTAGACTCTCTGAACTGGCAGCCTTTGAAACCCTAATTCTTGGACCCTGTAAATGATAAGCTCTTTAAGGACTTGTAAGGGTTGTGGGGAGTGTTTTGTTTTTAACCTGATCTAGGTTTTGCATACTGTTGCATATTTCTTAAGCGTTTTCTATCATAGAGGCTGCTTAGAAGGATATCTTCTGTGCAATAATAAAAGCTACTTTAGTTAAATTAATATTTAAGGACATTTATCCAGATTCAGCTCTTTAATTCAGGATCTATAGAATCTGTCCTGGGGCTGTTGCTGGGTATACTGCTTTGAATACCTCTGCTCTTCAGATTACAGAAGACTTTTTTTTGTAGGGTTATGTCCTGATTAAGACAAAAGGAAGAAATTACTTGATTTAAAAAGTAATAGGCAAAAGTTATTAAAAATAACGCAGGTGATGCTGTCTTCCCTAACAATTGATATACCCTATTTTGAGGCAGAATTGACATGTGATGGGACAAGAGTAGAAAGTGAAACACAGTCTGTTAACTGAAAGAATTTGAGAAGCAGTTGAAAAGTATGTAGTGAGATAATTTGAGCATCAGTCTAGCAAAGTGGCTTTAGCACACTGTAAGCTTGTGAATTAGCAAGTTAACTGTACCAACTGGTTTCTTTAAGAGCTGCTTCAAGATGACCTAGCAGGTCCTCCTGTCACCCACCTCATGCTTGCCTGCTCTCTCATCATGCCTTGAGCTGCTGTCCCAGCTTTAACTAAGTATTGCCCTTAAGAGTAATGGAGTAGAGGCTGTTTGGTCCCCTTATAACAGAAAGTTGCATAGAAGTGAATAGTTTAAGTAAAAACAGATCTTCAAAACAATAAATCAATCTATACACACGCCTGCCTTTGCCTAAGGGTCATAACTCTGTGTAGCTGGGGAACGCCCACCTTCTTTGGACTCTTTTTTCCACAGCCTCCCGTGGTGGCAGCCTATTTTACCACACAGGCCTTGACAATGGAGTCCCCACTCCTTTCCTAGGAATGTCTTTTTAACTGTTTAGTGCTCTTTGGAGCTCTGTTTTCTGCACTGTCAGAAGAGCAGTGTCACATTGGCCTGGAGCATGCAAGTGTGTCGTTCTCTGCAATTGTTTCTCCTCTTGGGCCTGCAGGGAGGCTCGTGGGTTTAGTGTTGCTGTGTTGTTTTCCTCAGACATCCCCTTCTCTCCTTCCAGTATTGAATAAGATCCATGAATCTAACAGCTAACTGCTGTTGAATAGTTAACCCAGTCTTCCTGATAAGGGCCACCAGTTGTCATATAACTTTTACATCTTTTTGGTCTTAGATTATTACCTTTTGTATCCATATCTGTCACAATCCCACTGAAGTTAGTAGGAAATAATGCAGGAAAAGTGGAAGGAAGAGGTACAGGAATTTGCCAGAATGAGAAATCTGACTCAAAAAAGGCATGAATTGGCAGTAATGATGTGTCGTTGCGTATCTCATTATGGTGTGCAAAAAGTAGGTTTCATGGATGGAAGGATGAGCAATCAATAAGGAGGACAGCCAGGGCCAGAGTGTGGGAGGGGAATAAGAGAAAAAAATATGTTGGGAAGAAGTTGCCAGTGGCAATTAAAAGTTATTTTCCAACAAACATGAAACTATTGCCCTTTCCTCAAAGGCAACCCTCTTTCTGTTCTTCTAGATCTTGAGGTTTAAGTGGTAGTGATGATCTTATCAAAACATTAATTTCAGCTTTTTTGAAAGAGTAGGATATTTTAATCTTTAAATTAAGGTCTTAATTGAAGAGGTCAGTCATCAGAAAATACACTGGCACAATGCAGAAATTTCAACTGGTTTTGGATTTAGCACTGCAGAAGACTAATGGCTGCTATTATCAATTTGCACAGATACAGAGACTTTTTACAGATACAGTTGTATTTTTTTTACAGTTCTCTTGTTTCTCCTTTTTACAGGATCATAAGCCCTCCTACTCTGCTACTCAGTGTGCTATCTTACAAAAGAGTTTTCTTTTTGGAGAAGCACATGTATAGGTTGTATAGACTTCAGTGATGCTCTGTATAACTGCTTGAATCACCCTGCATGGAGAGCAGGATGTGGGCCAAAGACAGTGAAATGTCCTAAACCTGCACAGTGAGTCAGTAATATGGTGGATTTAGAATGGAGGAGCTGTTTGCTCTCAGCTTTGTCTTCTGTGTATCAGAGAATAATACTTCTCATCGGCTCCGTTCCCAAGGCCATGAATAAACAGGCCCAAACTGCAAAGAATTCCATAAAAGATGTAGCTATGTTTGTGAGAGCAGAACCTCTTACATAATCTCAGAGAAATGGATAGCACAAGCTGAAGGCTGACAGTTCATCCGTCTAGAAGTTGAGGGTCACGTTTCCAATTGCAACTTAAGCAGCACAGAAACTCCGACTCTTCCCCTCACCAAGAGGCGTGGATCATGTTTTGTGTTGTGCTGTATCAGATCAAGGCAGCCTTTCCTCATGCAGTGATTTCTCTTAACAGAAGCAGAATGTTTAAAATCTTACCCTGACAATGATAACAGGCGCTGTAGTTTAGAAAGTCACTCTTATCAAATGTTCCATTACGTGTGAGAATTTTTGTTTTGAATCACGAGGAAGTGTGMTGTCTTATGACCAGCTCCCTTAGTCAAGTGCTGGCCAAACTAACCTTGAAGGGGGTGTTTAGATGGGACAAAGAGTAGAGCTGCAGATTCCCTGACGCTTCCTGAGAATAACATCTGAATCTGTGTGAAGTGGCTTAGAAAATATTTTCTAATATTACTTATGCTGCCATTTGCATGATGAGTAGTCTGAATACCTGCATATATTAAATSGCTTCTACAAAGGAGGCATCTTGCTAACTTCAGGGATATTGTAAAGTAAAAAATGTATGTCTACCAACTATCGTATTTTAAAGAGGAAATTATAGATATGCTATTTCATAACTGCCTTTGTAAGAGTGGCTTTTGGTGCTTCAGAGTGGGCCTGGCTGCTTGGAGAACATCATGGGAAGATCAGGGCTACAGAAAATTTTCTTTCTTTGGATATAAATAGAAGCTAAGCAGAAGAAAAGGTGGCATTTAAGGGGGAAAAAAAATTGGATTTTTACTATATTTTCTACCATTCCCAGAAGCTTCTGTTCAAAGCTATCTCAGCATTTTGGCTGTCACTTTTACTGAATCTATTTACGTACATTTTTAGAGGTGAATTACTTGGCTCTGTGACGTTTTTGTTCTCTGTTATGCTGCAGAGATCTGTTTGATTTGCAGTCAGATAAAAGAAAGCATTACAGCTTGAAAGTAACAGGTTTCAAAGCCTTTTCTTCTCCCAKCTGTGCCAGTAAAGGTGTTCCTATATTAATAAAATACAAGGCTATCAAATTAAGAGYGCAGCTTGTTAGAAGTGCTGGAAAAGAACTCCAGTTTAAATTAATTTTCAGAAGTATAAATTTGAAACTTATGAAAAGAATGAGGTGTGTCTGGCAAAGCTGGATAACAAAGAGATGAATGTGAGCGCAGTTTTTCTAATGTGCTTAGCAGACCCAGCTGGAGTCATGCTATCAAAAATCTGGCCCTTACCACACACACAAGAATTATTTAAAAATAATAGTAGCATAAAGTCTGATTCTCACGTTGCCCTTCGTAGCCTCAGTGAAATAGCAGACATGCAAGTGGTCTGGAGATAAACCACAAAGAACTAGCCAAAGATATATCATTTCTTCAATATCATTTTACTTTTTTTTTTTTGCTGCTGGATAATAATGAAAAGGCAAAGCAAGCAGCATCCAAAGTCTATATTGCTGGTAAGAGTGTGCAATACCGCCAATAGAGGATTTACATTTTTATTTTATTTTCTTATTTGTAAATGATTCAGTCATCCCTAATGAAAAGACTAGCACGTATCATGCCACTTAATGTCATCTTGTAGGAAGAACTTATGTAAAAGTCTGAAGCTCAGAGATTTAATAATTTAAATCCACAATAACAGTGTTTCAACAGCCATGTGAGTTTATAATTGATTTACAAAATGAATAAACCTACCAGACTTAAAATCCTCTTATTCTAGGGGTTTGTTGTTTCACATATTGATGTAAAAGAAAAATGTGTCATTTGGTATCCTTTCACAAGGCTCTTATTTGGTACTATTTTCAAGTCAGGAAATGTTATTAAGAGATAACTTTAGTTCTGGAATGCGTTCCTCTCTATACCTAAGCAGTCCCAGCGTGTTTGTCCCCAGATTACATTGCAACCTTGCTGCTCAGTCTCCTTTTGAAAAAGTGACAAGCCCAGTAACATGCCCCATCCTGGTTGCAAATGCCTCATTCCTTACAATCATTCTGGAGTTTATCACAGCTAGTCTATTAAATGTTTTGTTTTAATTTAGAGAGAGAAGACTGGGAATGTAGGGTAAGCTGTTTTGCAGTTTTAAATACAAACAAATATGAGTGAAAGAAAAGATAGGTTTCTTAGATCCTTTTTTAAAAGTGCACTCAGGAATGGTTGAAGAATGTTTGAGAAGAGGGAGTGAAAAAAAAAAAAAAAAGTGGCAACAAGATGGAACAAGAAAGAGAACTTAGTAGGGTTTGCCTGAATCTTCAGAAGGCTAGTCCTCATGTCAGCCAGTCTATTTTAAATCTTGATATGTTTGAATCTTCAAATAACTCTGGTAACTTGTGATTACTTCTGGTAACTATGATTGATTCCACCACTGATCATGTCTGCTCTTGTAAGGGCCACAGTCTGATGGCATGGCAGCGATAACTACCTTAATGCAAATGCTATTTCATGGAGCACCCTAATGAACATATGGAGGGGTTAAAATTATCTGCTTGTGTCCTTGAGCCTGAATTTGTAAGTTATGTGCTCTGCTGTCTTTGCAAATGGTTTTGGTCTAAGGAAATATTTATAAATTATGTCTCTTTTCAGAGTTAAAGAAGCAGAAGAAGTCTGCAGGCAGAAAAAGGGGAAATCACTTTACAATATAAGACCAAAGCATGACTCTGGAATTGTAAGTAAAAGATATAGCTATGTTCCTATTCTCATCAGTCTTTCTACTTTTTTCTCTCTGCTTTTTATAGGTATGTGATTCCTGATACACAATTTTTAAAAAATATTTGACATTTTCAAGAAAGATGTCAGGTTAAAACTACTGCTACTTGTGAATGTTACCCCACAAAACAGATGTGCACAAGCACAGGAAGGGTATTCCACCTTGCACATCTACTGTATCAGTTCTTAGCATGGGATGCACCTAAAAGGAAGAAAGGCTATTGCAGGCTTCAAGCTTATTCAGTCTGCAAATGTTCTGTTTTCTAAAAGCTGTAGAACGTAATGAACAGTATGTGATAGGGACCCTCAGTTTGAGTGTCTTTCCTCTAACTTTTTTCCTGAAASCAGATAAATATGTGTAATGGTAGTAGAGGATTAATACCAATCATTTCAACAAAAACATTCCAGTGTGATTGCCTAAACATTGGTAGAGTTGTATTGTGTTTTGCAATGGATGAATTTTCCTTTGGTGGAAAATGAATCTGACACCTCACATTACAATTATATCTGTAGCAATTGACCATCAATTATTTTTGTAACATCTGGAAATGGAAGATTTTTTTCATGCTTTTTCCCCCAGAAGCATGCTTCACTTCTTTATGGTTTATACTCATTGCTAAATTAATGTGACATGTCCTTGAAATGAAGCAGACTGTCACTGTCAGTAATTCAACTATCATGATCTGACACAAGGAAAGAAAGAACTGTTCTTGCTGTTATTCACTCTGAGTGTTCATGGAGAAGTGGCTATGGTCAGTGCCACAGGAATTGTACATGGAGTAACAATGTGGTTAGGAATGATAGATTTTATTTTATCAGTTAATTTGTAGCCAGATCAAGATGTTGTTAAGAAAAAGAATGCTGATTTGGATTTTTTTTTTCATCTTCCCTCTATCTCCCCACATGTTAAGCTACTGAGGAATTTTTTTTTAATACCTGTAGGCTTAATTACTCCTGTATTATTACCATTTTCACTTGTACTGAAACAGGACTTCCAGGTAGAGCTGAATATCAGGATCTCTGTTTACCACTGCAGGCATTCCCAGTGTTACTAAATACTTGATAAAATAAAAGGGAAAGTAAACAAAAATATTTCACAAGCACAATGTTTAGCTAGTCTATTTCAAATCCAGTTTCAAATGGAATTTATTTGTGAAGTCAGCCCTACAGTCAGTATAATAGAATGCTGGCCTACGTATTTCTGTGCTTTACAAATTTGTGGATTCGTGCCTTACAGATGTGCTTCTATCTATACTCAATCCTCTGTACATCTTCTGTTTTTTTTTTCAGAAAGCAAAGATAAGTATGAAGATCTGAGAGAAGAAGAGTGAAAGCCATTGCTACCTGGTTACCAAAACTCAACACGTCTCTGGGTGGGGGTTAAGGGGGAAGGAAACTATGTCATCCTCATCATTTGCTTGCTTGATCTTTCTGAGTTTCCGTTTTGTTCACTAGAGTTTTCCACCAATTGATGTGTTACTTAACATTCATGAATGAATGTAATCACTTTAATGGAGTGCCCAGCAATAGACTAGGTATGGACTTGAAACACCTTCCCTGTACTCTGTCTCCTTTGCCAGTCAAAAATAATATTTTGTAAAGTTTATGGTATATTACAAATAGGCCAAATCAGCATGCGTTAAAAAACAGCATCTGCATCAGTTCTGAACATGCTGCAAATTGCGTTAAGTTGAACGTCATAAGAATGCTACTTGATACAATAAAACATCTCCATTCCTACTGGCAACATCTGTCTAACACAAATACTTCATGGCACTGCACTTAGATTAGGGAAAGAAATGTTACTCCTAGTGAATTGTTTGTATCTGTTTCATGTTGGCATTTGTAGTTTGTATTTTGAATCGTTAAGTGCTGTTTATACAGTATAATCAATGCTTTCCCAACTTGTTTGGTTGCCCTCCATGACTAAATATTTGTGGAACAAGATGTTTACCGTAACTATCTTTAAAATCGATAAGGCAGCATACTTTTACTTCATCTTTTGCCAGACAGTGAATGCCAGCTGGTATAGGGGTCAGAAATCCAACATAAAAAAAAAAAATAAGTGAAAAGCAGGAAAATACGTAAAGCACAGAAGTATTCTAGAGAGTATAAGAGAGGTTTGGCTATTATAGTTTGTTAATATATAAAGCAGTTAATACTTTTACATGAACTTTAGAAGATATAGTAGAGTTTTTAAATCCTGATTGCTTAAATCAGACAGCCTTTTGTGGTCATATGTACATGACTTCCCTTTTGGAACTAGCTTTACTGTTAATTTAAAACTCCTTTAGAGATCCATTTAAAAGATGCACATGGTAATTGACATTTCTGGAAAATGCTAGCCAAGTCTAGTGACAGAACATAGACTACTAACAAATTCACATCTATTTCACACTTAACAGAACTGCAGATTTTTCCTCCAAGCTTTCAGTGTTCTAGGAGGTTACTGATAGGACTAAGAAATCTAGAATTTAGGTCTTCCACTTTAGACCATATGCTTAATTCCTATTTGAAAACCAGAGTTTACTATATTAGTCTTGATCACCTCAACCAGTAGCACCATCTTCCTCCAGTTCCAATTAGCAAGCCCCAAAGTTCTCCGCCTGATTGATAACATTTGGATTTCAAAGTGCACTTTCCCAGAAAGCAGTAAGTGTGTTAGCTGAATTGGATGTGCATGCTCACAACCATGGAGCCTTGAAGACACTGGCATAAAGCAAATGATATCAACCTGCTGGGATAGGTTGTTCTCTTTCTAGTACATCAGAAGATGCTCCTGGCTGTCCAGAGGCTAATATACTCTACAAAGTGTCATAAGGGGAAGTGCAAAATATGACCTCAGGAATCTGTTGTTATTCACATATACCAAGCACTAGAAAAGATGGGGGGKTTTTTTCACTATGTGAAAAGCAAATCTCCTGTTGCTTGACAGACCTTTGTGAAATTCTGTACTCATAATTATTTCTGGCAGGGATATAAGTTACCAAGAAAGGAGTTCTAAAAATTTGTGTTGATGAGAGTAAGATTACTATTTGGGGAAGTGAAAAGAAGAGATTATTTGCTGTGAAGACTAACTTATGGGGGGAAAAAAAAGATACTTTAAAAAAATAAAGCTATTTTAATGGCACTGATTCAAATCCATGTATGTATTTATGTAAACAATAGTCTTTTCCTTTTAACTTTGCTCTTAATTGAAAGGATACAGTAGCATGTTTTGATTTGTAGCCTTCCTGTACCCTTCAGTACCTACTGTATGTATATTATCATACTAAATGAAATAATAGGACATCTAACAGAGATCACTATGTGCAATACTGTATTTAGTGTTTCTATTTCAATTTTTTTAGAATGTTAATTTATATGAAAATAAAAGGAATAATGAAATAATTGCTTTATCTCCTCACTGTCAGACTGTGCTGTAGTTAGCTACCATCTGCTGCTTAAACATCCCTTTAAGCCTTTGGTGCTCAAGGTAAAACTATTGAGAGGGGGTTCATCCAAATGAGGTTTCTCTTACCTTCTTTTTAGAAGCATGAAAAATGAAGATAGTAAGTCCTGGCTGTGTGAATACATAGTCCCTTCCCAGATGGTGGGAGGGAGGGATTTCCAGAGTTCTTCCCTACCCTAGCAGACTGCACATTACCCSTTTCTCTAGCTTGTACAAACCTTCCAGTAGGGCAGTTGCTAGTCTTAAGCCATTTGAACGGAACTCTTCCTTTGCACCTTTGGAGTTGATTTGGTACACAACCTGTTCCTATTCTAACACTATCTACACTATCTACATATCCTAATTAAATTACTGTTGGGACAAAAACATGCATAGAACTTATCATCTGCATATTATAATGATAGAGATTTTTTTTAATCATTGGGTTGTCAAGCAACTTGGTCACATATATACTATCCTTTCTGTTGGATCTGCAGAATGAATACTACTTGTGATTGACAAGTGCTTCTCTCTGAAGAACAGTGTTGAAAGCTGGCTGCAGCTAGTGGTACMGTTATGATTTTGTCAAACAATCTGCCTCCTAGGTTTTCCTGTTTCATTTTCCTGAGGCTCAACCCATTTAAAATGCCTCTATTAAATAGCTGCTGTTCAGCCTGTTTTTTAAGACTTATGCACAGTAACGCAGTTCATTATTTGCAGCACAAATGTTAACCCACCTTGATCACAGAAAGGAAGTGCAGTGTGAGGTTCAATGATGCTTCTTTATTTCAGAGATTGTTTTTGTTTAGTTGTTTTTTTTTAAGGGATAGAAAACCCACTGAGGTCCCCTCTCCCTCCAGTCTACTACAGCACCAAACATATTGTGCTTTTAGGGTAGACCTTTGTCCTACAAGAGCTGTATGGACAAAATTTTTGAGCCCTTTTTGACCATTATTACCATGTATTGTTAATCATTACTTTAAAGAAATTGTAGCAGCTACATGAGGATTTTTATACCTGAGCAGCAGGTGAGAAGTCTGAGGCATCAGTTTTTATAAAGAGCTATCATAGAAGGAAGATTTGTGTTGTTCAGCTTTGCAAATTAAAGCCTTTGGGAAGCATGCTATTTTAGTTGTCACAGGTCATATGATAGTTGGCAGGTGCTGGCTTTTTTTTGTAGCACTTTTAATCATTCTAAAGATCTTCCAAAAGTCAGTGTAGTATTTACCAAGAGTGGCAATGTAGTTGCCTGCATCATTGCCCCGTCTGGTCTGATTTTTTTTTACTCTAATTTTTTGGTGATCAACTTAAAGTTGCTACTAAAAGTAGTTACTTACTTCACTGAGCAGAAAATATAGCAAGAAAGTCTTAGCATTATAGTTATTTTGTTTTATATTCTAAATAAAAAGAGTTGCTTTTATACCAAGTCTTATATACCAGTTACTTAAGCTACAGCAATTTCAAGCTGCCACAAACAGAACATAGAGTTGAATTTTTCTGAATAGGAACTTATCACCAAAGGCAGAAGACAAAAAGGTCTGATACCATTCATCTCCACTCCCACAAACCCTCAATGATATAAGATTTAAGCTACAGAATAGGTAGCAATCCATGCCAATCTACTGCTTCAGGCTCATCTGTGACTGTGCTGTACCAGGTAAACATTCATTCGGCCTAGTTACAGAGGCATCCAAAGTTAAGTCYGTTGTCTCAAAAGCATGGCATTTTTCTGTGTGCCTTGGATAGCTCAGCAATATTTTCTCATGTATTCCCAGCTAGAGTTCAATTTTATTCTGTTAAAAAGTGTGTGTGTGGGGGGGGGGGCTGCCATTCTGGCTATTCTGTCATGATAGAAATTAGTATTTGCTGTACTCCCTCTGTTTCCATGTCCCACAGCATCACAGAGTAATGCTGCAGGCTAGTTTAATAAACACTGGATCTATCTGAGTAAAGCCTATTTTATCTCCCTAGAGACTTGCCTTGCTCTTGGATTGATTCCATAAAAGGGAGTTTATGGGATTACATCACATGCTTCTGGTGCTGATGGCAATCAGGAGGCTGGGAAAGCCAGAGCTGCCGTCCTGGCCRTGTGTGGCACAAACAGTTAGACGGCCAGGCCGATGCTGGACAATGTCACTACCTGCAAAATAGAAGAGTGGTTCATGGAGAGGGGAAATGAGAAAGGGCCACTGGAGATGGCCAGTTGAGCAATTGACAAAGGTATTCACCAGGTATGGGCAGAGGCCCCTGAGCACACCTRCATAATGCACAGGAGACCAGAAATTCTCAAAACAGCTACTAAAAAGGGGGCTTCCTGCAAATGTCTGTGATCATGCTGCAGAGGACACAAGCCTCCCTTGCTAGGTGTGGGCTAGATGCTCCTGCCATTTTTAAGCTGCAGAAAAAGCATCTGTTCTGGTCACATGGACAGTTGCACTTCAGAGGGGGAACTCACTTTCTGGACTGAACTCTACCTTCAAAATTTCTTTTGCACTATCTTTTCTCAGGGTTGGTAAGAAATCAAATCAAACCACTGCATGGTTTGACAGTTACACAGTCAACTTACACAAGAGCTGATAGCAAGCGTTGGAATTCAACTACATATAAAATTTTGTTATATGAGCAGGCCAATCCACGTTACATAGTGATGTGACTATACTTTAAAGAAAAACCATGTAGGTCAGGATAATGGCTATTTCTCTTACCACAAGTGATTCCATCAGTTTAGATGCTGGTGGAGCTTCAACTTCTGTCTTCTCAGTTAACCAAAAAAAAGCCAGGATTTGTGTGTGGAGAGTCAAGCCCAAATTCTATGGGGCTTCTTTTTTCTCAGCTTCTTTTTTCCTTTTCTCCACCTTGGAGTTTGGCAGAGAAGGGTAGTTAGGCTTTTCCAAGCCGTTAGGGTGAACCAACATTTACCTGATACTGGGAGGGCCAGAAGAAAGCTGAAGAAAACATTAATTTGAGACTGATTAGATACTGGGTGTTGAAGCAAAGCCCATACACCTGGATACCATATAACCCTAGGGTAGCTTTATTATTTATTCTATAATTTAATAGTAGACCTATAAAATAATTACATTATACTTAAAGCATTTCTTCATTTTTTGTTTTCATTTATAAAACAAGAATTAAATACAGTTTTAACCATTACAAGCTCAACTCGTTTTTTACATAAACACAGCTCCTAGAAGGAGCTTTAAGCTGCAGCATATTCATATTGCAAACTGGTGAGAGACCCAGACAGGGCATAGCTTAACAATAAAGATTCTTGCACAACATTCCTAACTGAAGTTACTAAGGTGTTTTTCCCTCTCTAGTCCAAAGTGCTAGTAAGGCCAGCTTTCAGTTCTCTTCTTTCAAAGGGAGACCAAGATGCCTGACATCTTTACAGATTATAACTATTGCTACCTTCCCATCCTCTCTCCCCTCTCCAAAACACTCCCAAGCTTGGACTGACCATTGCCCATCTAGTGGCTGGCATGATGCCGACAGCATTGCAGCAGTGGCCTTGAATGAGTGGTCATTTCTGACTCGAAGACCGCTGCAGAGAGCACATGCATAGCTGCTCATGCACCAGGGCTAACCTACCTGACCGACCTCATCCTGCCTGTGCCAATCCCCGTAAACCGCTTGGTAAGCTCCACGGGGGCTCAGTGTGCAAAGCCTCTTAGAGCAGCCTGTCTCACATAACAGCGACCTGCGGCACTGCACCCCTGGCTGGCGAGCGCACTAGGCACGTTAACCCCTTGGAGTGGTGGTGTGGGAAGAGGCTGCCAGGGAAGAGCTCCTAGAGCGAGCTGGTTTTGCTGGATACAGATGCTGAACTGTAAGACATGCATCGGGGAGTCAGTTTGTCATTTTTAATTTGTGTGCTTCAGATAATTTAGCATGCACGGGCTTTGGGTTGTGGGAAGGAGCTGGTTTGTTTTTTAAGCGTAAGACTTCAATACAGCTGGTATTAATACAGATCAGAGCTGGAACAAACGGCATATGCAGACATGCTAAACTCCCCTAAGAAAGCAACAACCCAATACAAGTTTCAATGAACTTAAAGTATCCACCATCACTGATAAGTCAGAACTGAAAATTTTATCAGATCACTGATATCTACAGATTGGTCTTTTCCTGCACCTCAAGCTGTGACCCACTCCAGCAGCGCGTACCAGCGGTTTTGCCCTTTACCACTAGCATGTTACCTGGTTTCCAACCACTGCACGGGAGAGTTGCTGCTACCAACACACTGGTGCGTAAGGCAGCTTTTGTCTTCAGTCCAACAAAGATCAAATTTGTTTTTTTTTTTGTGCTACAGTGTTTTAATACCTTAAGTGAAACATGGTTTCCTTAAGTGTTTTCAGCTCCTCTCCCACTTCCCCCCAGTCTGAGCAGGCATAAATAAAAGGCAATAACTGCACATTGTACTTTTTTTAGGGTAAGAAACACACACATACCTAACACAAAAAACTTACTGGTAAGCCAAGTTAAAACATATTCATTTTAAGCCAGACGACTGACCTAGCTAGCAAGTCTCTTACTCAACACATTTTAATCTCTGGCATACTCCGCCACAATAAAAATATACATGGCTAGGCCTATAATACTTTAAACAGCTGTTTACTATAGCTAGGTTACAAAATAAACACTGCAGCAGAGACCATGTGTTTGATATATTCTAACCACAACAGCGTAAGAATCCATCGTCAGTCTGTGGATGTGATCCTGGTGGCTGACCTAACACTTCCCCCTCTTCCCGTCGGTTCTTATCTGCGGTTCAGACAACCAGCCCAGAACAGTCTGTCATTGCACAACTGAGACTTGCTGAGGCTCTTCTTGCTGAGAYGGGTCTCGCTTTCCTTCAGCGTGTTGCTCCGGGTCTCCTCTGTCCGCATTGCCCAGCCCCGGGCTGGCCACCCAGCACTTGATCGTGTGAGCCCTGGACCAAAACACCAGCAAGGCCTACTTTTCTTGTTGAGGGGACTGGAGTGTAGGGCAGACAGCTTTACTCCACACAGTGGAAACATTTAATGCTGGATACAGCCAACTGGTCACTTGGACAATCAATCCCAACTTCTGGGAGCCTGCTCCATTCCGGAAGATTCAACCATCTGATGATACTGAAAATGCAATGAAGCTTTATGGCAAAGTGCCTAATATAACCCATTAGAAAGCTTTATTCCAGTAGAAAAGTGACAAGGAGCCTTTTCTTAGTAGAGAAATGCCTCCTGAGAGAAAGAAAGGAAGGAAAAGAAAAAAAGGCAGGAAAAAAAACCAAATCAATATGATAGACAGTGAGTCTGCTCAGTGGGAGAGGAGAGGCAACAGTGTGATGGGGCCAACACCACGCAGTAGGTACTCGCTGCTCTCACAGTTTGCCTGAGTTGTTGAGATTCACAGACATGCAGCGGCACTGCTTCACCTTCTGGATCTTCTTGAGTCGGAAAGGGGGGTCCAGCTCCGGGCACTCCAGCTGCACGGTTGAGGAGGTGACCTTATGCGGCTTGCAGAAGGCACACGACTGGAAGGATTCCTCCTCCTTTTTCACGTGCCGCGGTATGTAGAAGGAGTTACACTGCCCATAGCAAAAGCGGTTGATGATAGTACGGCTTATGCAGCCCTCCTCGCTAACAGTCTGCCGCAGGGGCTGCGTTTTGCACCAGTCACTCTTCAGGTACTTCCTCTCGGTTACCACAAGGGCCTCCTGGCTGGAGGCCAGCACCTCCTTGTTCAGATGCTGCCTCCGCTCTGAGTTGTTGCTGCTGCTGTCTTTGTAAGGGGACGGGATTGCTCCCGCAGGACGGTTTTTCCTGCTGTCTGATACTCTGACCACCGCTGCCATCAGAAAAACGGACAAGGCGAATTTCCAAATCATCCTGCAATGGCAGAACAAGGAGCTGTTAGAAGGCACTCAATTTAAACCACAAAATTGCACTGGAGTTTAACTTTACACATTCTTGTTGAAGAATGGAGATCTCACCACCTTTGTAATCCCACCACTTTTCCTAGAAGAGCTATTTTCTAGAGTGAATATTCATCAGAAAGAAAGACCCCATTGAAAGTCATGTCACTTCACCTTCTGTCCAAGCCTTCCAACTACTCTTTTCCCCAACACAGGGAAACTGCTGCTTTCATCATTGAGTTATTTTAGAGAAGTTTCAGTCAGAAAGGTTTTCAGGGTTTGGGTTTTTTTTTTTGTTTTTTTTTTTTGAAATCCTTGGCCAAACAGATGGGCAAACCTCTGGCTAACTCTAACTAAGTCTCAGAAAACTTCTGCCCATATTGCAACAGCTGATTTGTAGATTGCTAGAGAGAAAAGAAGGGAATAGTAGGTTACATAAGGTGAATCCTCACATCCCTGCTTGGCCTTGGAACTTCTATCTAGTCTAGTTCCACATATAAATATCGGAAGATGCCCAAAAGTGTATTTTTATTATTATACATTGCTTCTGAAGTTTCTTAGGGTTTATGACACTTGAAGTTCTGCAGTTGTCTTTTGGGGAGGTTGAAGGTTTGACAGATTTATTCTTGCAGTAAGAAATGCTTAAACCCAACCTTGAAGACTTCATTACTACCTGGCCTCTTAGGATAATAATTTAAGAATGTTTTTAAATAGATCAGAATTCAATATTTAGTTTAGATATGGCTTTCTTGATAAGGAAGATGTTACAGCATAATTCAGTTACTAAGTTAACATAATCAGCCAGTTAACAAAAATCCTTTTTTTTTATTGTTGTCTATTGGAATTTCTTCTCCTGTAGAGCATCTCTTACCTGGATTTTCATTAACTTGCCCAATTTATATTAGTAATGCATGAAAACAGACTACAAACAGATTGGTGTAGAAGTACTAGAYTTATCTTACAATGGTCATCATGAACTGCCATAACTCATAACTCAGATGAGAGGTTATTTTGTTCTTCCTGGGAAGAGAGAGAGGACTACCTCCAGGATGTGGGGAAAAAAAACATGCCCCCAGAGCTTCCAGGCCAGCAGTGAGGACCCTTCAAGTCTTTCTAAAAGTGCTCAACTCACTTTGAGGACTGCATTTTTAGTAATACTGTGGAAAAGTCCCTCTCTTCCCAGGAAAGCTTCAAATGTTTCCTTCAAGTAACGGCTTTTCTTCCATTAGAGTGATGCCAATATAAAAAACACTCTCACACCAATAAATATTGGTACCCTAACTCTGTAATTTATGATCTTGCAAAAGTACTCCCAACATACCAATGAAAACATGCCATTGCATGCTTGGCACTGAAAAAAATGCCAGATGTTTCTCAAAGACAAAGATCAAAAATGGAGACAGTGTAAGAGAGAACTGCAATGGCAGTAACAAATACTCCTCATCTAATAAAGCTCACCTGTCATGTATTTAACCTCTGTGGAGCTAAAGAAACAGGAATACTGGAGAAGGCTAGGTGAGATAACAGCTCCTTAGGTTAATTTCTAAGCCTATAAGACCTCAAGGTTAGTCTTGGGCTAGATTTCTAAGGGGAGAATTTGCAAGCACTGAAGAAAATGCTAATCCTAAAGCCGTGAGCAGATCACTGATGCAGAGTTAAATCCACCATCTTCTAGGTTTGAAAAACAATCACATTTAGTTACAAACAGTGTTTCTAAAACTCTTGTAAGTGGAGATAACCCAGGATCCCACTGACAAGCATTGTAGCCACGAGTACTTTAAATCAGTGGCCTATTTTCTCAGTGCTTAGCATTCAGTGCTCAAGTCCAAAGGTTTTGTCCAGAGTCTTTAACCGAAGCAAGGCTAGACTTGGCTTTGTTCATAGGTATTATCGCCAAGACCATTGGATGTCAACTCACACAGACTGGCCAAAATCTAATCAGGTAATTACTTTCAGTTGAATATAGCGTTCCACACTACCCCTCAAATTGTTCTCATGTTATTCTGCACTGATGGCTGCATTTCAGTAGTAGATAAAATAACTGATCCTAAAATGCATGTGTTTTTACATATAAAAAGGAAGGGGAAAAAAAATGAGTTACTAGTCCGCATCTAGAAACAGCAAGAGGATTGCTCCCCACTAGATGCCTCGCACCAGTCCTCTTCATACATACTCTTCTACTTTCCTCTTTTAATTGGAGCAATGCACCAGTTTAAAAGAGTGACAACTCTGCTGTCTCCTGTGGGAGAGTTCAGCCCAGACATCAGCTCTCTGCTTTCATTTCTCTGATCCTGACAGGAAAGACAGGAGTCACATCAGAAGAGATGCCCTTTCCTTTACCCCTTTCTCTTTTTTTGCGGGAGAAGACTTATCACAACCATCCTTTCTCACCACAAAATGCATAGCTGAAAGTTCAACTTTGCCTTGTTTCATGTCAAAGATAGGGTCAAGCAGAGATCATACGCTGGACTTCAGGGAAACTGGCAGAGCTAACAACACAGCGTCTGTAATGCAGAAAAATATTATAGTAGCTTTATAATTACTGAAATAGTTTTACCTAGGCACGGAGAGCCATTTGATAGAATAAGTAGGATTTATTCAGTAAGTCTATGCTTATAATTAATAAAGTATTATTAATCAAAGCCACTATTGTAATGTTATAAATCAAACAGTGCGTGCACATGTTAGCAAGTACTTGTGGAGTCAGATAGGAATGTGCCACCTCTTTCTACCATATATCCCTATCAAACACGGACCAAAAGATATTTACAGAGAATATATTGTTCTATTTTAAACTAGCAGGTCAAATATGTTGTGCATCCTATCAGGAAATTTCTAATGCCTTGCCCCTGTGAAGCCTTTAAATCACCCCCTTCCAAGCCCTGGCATACAGACAAACAAGTAAAGGGTGCAAACAAGGTCACTGGGTGCCAGCAACATGCCACGGACAACGCGTCTTGAGAGTGATGAGATACAAAGAGAAAAGGAACTTTGCTATTCTCACAGAGCATTTTGGTGAACTCAGCCTGACTGCAAGGCAACATGGTGAATGCTGTCTGTCTGCAAACAGAGCATGGGAATAAACACAAAATGTATTTGAGAAGAATCTGGCTTCTGGCAAGAACAGGCCAGTTCTGCCCTACTTAGATAGCACAGAATAAGCTAGCATTTGGCTGAGACTAAGCAACCGAGAACTACCCTAAAAAACAAAAACCTCTGAAACTTGCACCAATGCCAGGGAGCCAGCCTCTGCCCATCGTTCCCACTGCATAAGGTGCACCCTGCAACAGATCCRATGGAAGCTCCTGTTCAACAGTGATCAGCCTCTCCAAGAGCCATTGCCAGCTGCCRTGAGCTCCCCTACACCCCTTTTTTTCCAGTGCATTGGCTGGTGCAGTAAACAACCTTACACTAGACACTAAATAAGGCTTAGCTGCATTGACATTTCACATGCTCTTTTTTTATATCTTTGAGATAAGWAAATTAGCATCAAGTAGGAGTTCAAAAACTCATAAAACCTGTCACATTTGAGTTGGACTATTAGGTACCCTGGAGAGTAAAAAATGCATGGCCACAGAAGCAGACATGCCAAGATTCAGCTCTGTAAATCCAAAGAGGTCAGGGCATTGAGCTAGGAGGGGGAAGACCTAGACCTGCTGTATCTGCCCTTAGCTTTATTCCTTGTTTGTATCCAATTACTGTGTAACATAAAATATCTACCAAGTCAGGCTCCCTCTTACATCCTGACCTTCTGGCCCTATAACTCATGTACTCCTGAAAACAACCCAGCGCCAGAGCAGGACAGGCAGGGTAGCCCCAGAAAGAGCCTATAGCTTTGCGGTTAGGGATTTGGGAGCAATGGATTATGTTCATCATTTTTGGAGAAGTCTTCTAGTACAGAATTGGGAGATACCGTCTGAAAGACAGAGAAGGAGGTAAAACAACTATGCTGACTGTTTCACTGTTACCTTTAACTTTAGGAAGAAAAAAAAAATGACAAGCTTCTAAGCTTAGGATGCAGTTTCTGACTATGAATGTCACTTTCATATATCAGCCTACTTTAGGATTACAGGTTGACAGAAAGACAGAGTGATGAACAAGAAACATGGCAGTGATAATATGTTAGCTGCTCAGAAAATCAGCAAGTATGAATGCCATTTGTTTATTTTAGTATTTAAGTCCTACAAAGCATTCAGTATTATCTGCATTCCTGGAAACACCTAAATTTCTGGTACAGCTTTTACATATAATCTTACACTTAAATCTCTTATTTTTGAAATGGTCTTTCAATAGTGTTAGAAAAATGCCACAGACAGTGGTTCAAAAAAAAAATCTGCAAAACCTGCTCTACTATGGAACTCAATAGCTTACTGTTTTAGTTTAGTCATGGGACATATATAACATGCAAGTACATACTAGAATAAGATTTAGCACTACAAACCCATTCTGTGTCAACCAAAAGTATAGTAAGAGCCATTGGCTGGGAACATGAAAAATGAAAGGTCAGATAAACAAAAATTAAAAAAAAAAAAAAAAGAAAAAAGAAAAGAAAAATGAATTAAATTCACCAGTGGAACAGTTTGCCTTGGAAAATAATGGTTTGTCTTCAGTTATTGGTTAAAAGTACACATTAGAGGCTGGATTAAAATAGATATAGTAGTAGTTCTGTGGCACAGTATACACACTACTGCCTTTGACCATGTGCATTGCTGTTTTTAGTTTCCATCCTGCAAACTGCAGACATTGGCACTTTCCTTTGGGACCAGCTATTCAGCTGATCATGGGCATCTCAACCAAAAACACTTTCTATTCCCAGCTTCCCTTCATATTAAAATGAGTCAAAAATAATTTCTATAAAAAAGGCATATGAATAGTAAAGTAAGGACACAGTGTACATGGTCAGTTCTCAGTATTTAAGATGGGACACGAAAAGTGTTCCTTGAAGACAAGCCAGGCAGTAACTTTTCAAAGAGCTAAAACTTGGCTTGAAGAACATATGTAGGAAGCCAGGAAATATCAGATTCTCTACCAAGAAGCCAAAAATGCTATTTATTTAATTTATTAATGGTTAGGTTTGATTCTAATGGTACAATATCCAACCAAAGATTATACAAAACAGGCATCTTTATGCAAAGAAAGCACGCAGAGTTAGCTTCTCAGTTTTAAGTATCCTCTGGAAACTATTGCTTCCGTGTTTCAAGACCATCAGCTATAACTGAACACCTCACTTCCATTTCACAGAGGCATGTAACTCTTAGCAAATTATTCTGCCATTAACAGATTTTCATGATTAAATTGCCAAGATGGAGTTCAACCACAACAACAGAGCATGCACAAGGCAGCAGAAAAACAAAGAAAACAAAACAAAACAAAAAAGTGCAAAGCCTAAAAGTCCTGAAAAGTCAGTACTGAAACTATAATGTCTTACTCAAATGCAAAACTGCTGCATTTTAGCAGCTAAGAAGAGATATCATGTATTACTGCACACAGCAAATACCAAAAGGAATGTTGCTAAAAAAGCAACAGTTAATTCCCTTATAAGCAAAAGGTTTTTTCCACTCTTGTCTTCTAAGAACCTTCTGTAGTGAATTGCAAGAAGCCATTTTATTGCCTCACAGCTGTAGTAGAAAGTTGTATGAAGAGAAAACCTTTATTTCATACTTAATAAAAATCCTGGCATCCTGGCCTGTATGGCAATGAAAAGGAAAGTGGGCACAGAAAGGTGACTTCTGCATCCTTCTCTCTTGCTCAGGCCACAGCGACACCTCAACCTCAGAGAGGCTCAAACAAGCTTACAGAGCCTGTCAGCAAGCTGTAGACAAAATATGAAAGTATCCTGCAATCCTTGGATACTTCAAGAACTCTACTGCTCCATTTAAGCCCTTGTGCTGTATTCTGACAGGGATAGATGGAGAAGTGATTTCAGCTATGTAAGTCTGTATCACTCAGAAGAGAGTATCACTTCATTATAATTTAGAGTTTCTCCCAAAGATGGAGACACCGAATTTACGATTATGGAAAACAGAGTACGTAGACACTGATAGGGTCAGTCCATTCAAAGATAAAGCTAGCTAAAAAACTACTCAGAGGATGTTACTTTATGCAAATTTCAGCCCTCACTATAAATTTTCTGCAACCAAGAGCTTTATCTTGATTTAGATAGCCTGTTAGCCAAAGTGACTGGAACTTTAGAAGAATGTCCATGTGCACAAATATAAGAACCAAGTAATCAACTGATTGCGCCCATCACATCCAGTAATGTGTTATTTGTCAGGTATGTTTTTTTTTGGGCAGGAGTAATTATGAAGACAATTTCAGATAAACTCTCTATTG